TTATTATGACTTTCAAATTAGAGTTTCTGTAGACGATCAACAGCATACCTTCTGAGCAATTTGTAAACAATTAAAAAATGTTTATCATCCTTAAAGAGTTCTTTTTATGAACATTAATACTTATTATCCTTAAACAGTTATTTTTATGAATGTTCGTTCACTCTAATATATTTGATGAAGTAAGATACAATTGAAGTTGATGAAGAAATGAACATGAAAAATGGCTAAAGTTGATATGACAAAAAGTATGGTCTTCAAATGTTTATTTTCCAATTATTTTCTAATCTAAATATTTTTTGTGAGCAAGAAAGTGGTCCACAAATAGGACTGATGTGTAATCCTTCTATTAATTGAAAGACTATCCATTCAAGTTAAATATGAATCCACATTTAAAAGTCAAATTGAGGTTTTTAGCTGAATCACATGTTAGAAGAATTTTTCTTGCTCTTTGAATATTACTTCAGCTGTTTAACTTTACAATAATACAGCAATTTTAAAATTAGTTATCAGTATTCCAACTATTCTCTTGGTATTAATTTTCTTTCAATAAAATTGGTTTGATTTAATCAGAAGCTATTTTGAAACTAGAGTATCATTGCAATTGAAAGTTTCAAGTGATTGAAAAGTAATAGTAAGATGACAATTAAAACTCAGGCTGAAAAATCATCTCATTAATTTATTTTGATGAGAGACTACACTGTTTACAAGAAAGCAAACAATGGATGGAATAAAGCAACGTTAGCTTTTCAGTACTAATCAACAATTTGGTAATTTTACTTAAAGAGAAATTCCTCACACATAAAGCATGGCTGTTGGCAAGCATGACTATTTCACTGGATTCTAAGAAATTTGAAGGATAAATAATAAGAGAACATCCTCCTCTTCCTTGCTGTCAAGTTAGAACTGACTCATAGCTGACCCTCCACTGGGTTTTCAGAGGCTGTAAATTTCCCAGGAGGAGATGTTCATCTTTCTCCCATGGATCAGCTGGCAGGTTAAAAATGCCTGCCTTTTTTATTGGCCACACAGCTCCTTACCTTCTAGGCCACCAAAGCTTACTTAAGGAACATCATTAGCAAAACAAAGAAGACCAGTATATTTTGCAGTATGGTGATTTGAATAGCATTACAATAATTCTAACAACAGTAGTGAACTCTGGAATTCCTAAATGCAAAAATTGTCATTTGGTTAAGTGGTGTTGTGTAAAAGTGCCATCCTATATTCATTCTCTGATGACCTAGTGGCAAGGACCTGTGCTGCAATGCTCCATGGGAGAAGGATAGGCAATCTCCTCCTGTGTGGTTAACTGCCTCTGAAAACACACTGAAGGGTCAGCTATGGCTTGGTTCTAACTCTACAGCACACAACAGCAACACATTTCATTTATGAATATGGTTAGGTTCCAAAGACCAAGTCGTTATGTGAAAATTGATGTTATAGAAAAATGGAGGATGATTATATCAAGCATAAAATGAATAACAACATCACCAAATAGCTACATCATGCAAGTGCCAAGCCTTAAAATGATAGCCTAGACAAACTGACAAATAACTTTAACCAAAACAGCCTGAGATATTTTTGCCTCAGGTATTAGGGTTCATTATTGCTAGATAGATAAACATTGTTAATGCATGGGGTTCATTATTGCTAGATAGAGAAACATTGTTAATGCACAAAATAATTGAAGAGTAGAATTTTTTCTACTATTGTAAATGCAAAATATTGAATAATGAGATAACTGGTAAGTGAGGAGTAGAGGTATCAAATAGAATTTTAGCCATCTTTTCCCCCCTCTGCATTAAATCATGTTCATCAGGCTTTTCTTTTCTTTTCTTTTTTCTTTTTCTTTTTTTTTTTTATATCAGATGGGTAATATGCTGAGGTCCTAACAAGGTTTAAAGGAGGCACATGTCATACAAAAGCATGAACAACCAATCATCACACTTCTGAACTGAAAAAGGATCTCATTCAGGCTTATTTTAAAGTTTAAATACCTACTTACTAAAACTTTAGAACATAACCTTCAAAATTTAGAAAAAGAGTCCCAGGAAGAGTTTTTTTTTAAAGTCCTTATTTCTTCTAAAGCTCTTTCTACATCATAAACCTCTTTTTCCAAACCAATATGGCTGCATATGAATATTTATAACTGTAACTCAATTGTTCTATCACCTGCTAATAGGAATATGCCCTTGGATGTATGCATTGAAAAAACAGTCCTTGTAAAAGTTCCAAAATTGTAAATAATTTCCAAGTAGCACAGAAAAAAGCTCCTTTAGAAATATGCAATTCTAAAACTGAGAGCCTGGAAATCAGCCCATTTATGGTCAACTGATTTTTGACAAGGAGATGAAATCAGTTAGGTGGGGAAATGACAGCCTTTTTAACAAATGGTGTTGGCAAAATTGGAAAACTATCTGCAGAAAAATTAAACAAGATCCATACCTCACTCCAAATACAAAAACCAACTCAAGGTGGATCATGGACCTAGGACTAGAGCCAAGGCCTATAAACTTCATTCAAGAAAAGGTTGGAAGAACTTTAGTAGTCCTAATCCACAACATAAAGAGTCTTCCAAGTCTCCTGAAAAATTTACAACCAGGAGAAAATAGATGAATGGGACCTTCTAAGAATCAAAGGGAAGCCAAAGACTGGGGAAAAGCGTTTGGTAATGACATGTCAGATAAGAGACTTACATCTAGAATTTATAAAATACTTGAGCACCACAACA